AAGCATCAGAAGATAAAAAATAAATTCATTGAATCACCACTTGAATGTGAGATGTTGCTGTATAAATGTGAATTATGTTTGATGTGATATTTAAGGTTAAGTTAGGACACTGATTACAAGAGATAGATAGAGATAGATCAGTGCAGCATAAAATAGCTCTCAATTTACGTAATGCTTTCATTTCTTGGTAAATGCATTTTGATTTCCTTCTCTGGAAGTGCACATTTACTCTCGTTTCTTAATGTCAGGCAAGTCCCAATTGTCCATCCATCCTCATCTTCTGTGGCGGTAAAGCAACCGAAGCCAGGAATATGACTTACCTTGTCCATTGATCTGGCACTGAAACATTTCACTTCAATGAGGTTTAACATTTTCTAACCATTGTTATCCCGAGCATGTCTGTCCACAATCAACAACAGGTTAAACAAAGGGTTTCTACACACTATCTCCAGAGGAGAGCTGCTGTACATTAGCTCAGTGTTTAGCATGTGTGGGTGTGTGGCCAATGCCGCTGTTTCTGACAATTTCAACCATTGAAGCACAATCTAAAATACCACATGTAGTGGAGTGTTACTACAATGTATCTTTTATAGTCTCTTGTTTCTTAATCAACATTTTCACTGGAAGCTGTGTTTGTTTGGTGTGTGTTTACGTGTGTGTGTTTGTGTGGCACAGTTGGCTCTGTTACCTTGGAAGCCGTAAATCACCTAAACCATCAAGAATTAAGCAGTATCTCATTCATTATAAACACAGAGGAATGGTGACAAATCTGAGAACCTGGAGAAAGATAATCATTCCCACACAACAAAAATAAAGAGTTTAGTACCAGATTGACCGCTGGAATAGAAGCAAAGCACATTTTGACCCTCCAAGTGAAGTTAAAAGTTAAGTTAATTTCAGATTTTGGCATTTAACCAAAGTACATATATTGAATGGAAGCCTTCTACATAATTCTATCCAGCTGTGATTGTAAATAATGTTTTATTTGGGGTGATGACGGAGCAGTCTGTGTGGCTAAAACATCCTCATTGATGCTACTGAGCAAAAGTCTTTCTTATGCTAATCCTCCGTCCTGCTCACATCATTTGTTCCATGTTGTATCCAGTGTCAGCAAAGCTTAGGGGTGTTCCCATTGAAGTGATACTCGATACACCTCTAAACCCCAGATATGTAGTCTGTCAAAACATTTCTTGTTTGAATAAATTGTTTCGTCTGAGCTTCTTGTATGCAGCGACCCTTTTATTCCTCACTCTCTTTTCCTGCACCTCATTTACAGCAGTGTGCGTTTGTCCCACTTTGATTAAACCTGATATATGAGCAGCTGGGTGGCAGCAGTGGCAGGAGTGCCAGCATGTGTTCTGCAGACACCCTTGGGTGATCACATACACAGCAAACAATGCTTCACTAACCACCTGAGACTCGGGGAGGTGGACTGAACAGACACCTGAGTCCTGGCTGTCTGCGGGCTCTTTCACACGCGCTGCTCCGTGGTCATCCTATCCTATCTTAACGTTGTTAGATTAGCACCCTGCCCTCTGTTCTGATGACACAATGATTGGTGGAGGGCTCTAATGCACGGGAAGCAATTAACCCTTCCCCACAGCAGGGTGTGGACCATATGCATGCGTGTATTCATTGTATGACAGTAATCTGTGAGAAAAATAAGGCAATTACTTCTTGGAAGTAATTAATGTTGGTAACTGCATCATTTTCTACTAAGATGAATGTCATTTGTGATCCATCATGTCACTATTAATCCTTAAAATACGAATACTGTATATATTGATTCGTTCTGCCAGCAAATAGGAGAAAAAGCAAGAATAAATTTAGCAACCCAAGTGGAACAAATTGGCCTGCTTCTGTATACATTAAAGAATAAGCCTGGAGTTATTTAACATTTTTATGTTATTGTTAAAATATTCGCTAGTTAGTCTCACTCTCTGACTTCCCTATCCTGTGTTATATAGCCCCAAGACCAATGGTTCTTGCTGACTAAATCTTTAGATTACAAATATATAGTTTCATTTAAAGGCTCAGTAATTTCCTAAAAGGGGAGCACAATAGTGCATTTGTTAGGAACCATTTTCGACCAGAGATTAATACACATCTGGGGCACTGGTGAGCCTTTACAGCAGCAGGGTGGTATGAGGGATTGACTCTAAATAACTGACTCATTTATGTGTTTTTAGTAGTTTGTGGGCAACAATGGCTCTTTTTGTACCGGAGGAGCCCGTGGGGTAAAATGGGAACAGATTGTAATTTCCACCTTGACTCACCAGCACTAATTCATTTCAAGGATATCTATGTAACGGAATTCTTAAAAACTCTGACCTGCTTCTTAACACAAGTAATCCATTATGGAGCAGGTGATAGAAGTGCAGTATGAAAGAAACACAATCAATCACACGGCATTGTGGACCAATTAAAGGCAGGGATGTATTGGGTAACAACCTGGCTTTTTTTTCAAATTTCACTACAGTGCTTTGTTTTGGCCGCAGTTTCAGAGCGTTTTGGCTCCAAACAAGCTCCACATTTGGCTTTTTTCACAGCTTCATTCATTCACAGCACCACAACATATTTTTGTTGTATGTTATGCGACTAGCTGTTTGCATTTCTTTTCACCTCACTACCATAGGGATTGTATAACTGTCTATTTGTTGTTTTGGGGAGATATTTGGGTATCTGTACCATCAAGATAACAGACCTGGAGTCTCAGTCAATATACAGTGCAGTATTTGAAAGGGGTCTCCTCTGTTCCGCTGAGCAGTTTGGGGAGAGTGGAGAAAGTAAATGGTCTCACAGAGAGAAAAAATATCACCTTAAAGAGACAAGAGTGAAAACACAAGTTTCAGACAGACTTCAGAGTGTGTGCATGCATGGTATAATCACATGTGAATGGTATTATTTAAGAGCACAGGATGAGTGACCATTGTTTCCATGGGGTGACCAGCTGTGGGTCTATTACACTCAAAGACCCTGTAGACCCTCCAGTCCCTCACACAGCAGATCCCCTTTGTCCTGGTCTGGGTCATTAAGAGAAGACAGCCTGGGGACTGCCCCCCTGCTGTTTGGAGACCCCCACACACATACTGCAGACTTCCAACTGCCATCTGGGTGTCTCTTGCCAGCAATGGTGAGTACAAGTGCCGCTGTTAAAGTGTCAAGTGGGGATGGAGTGCAGGTTTAATCTTGATGACAGCATATGAAGCATGTCTCGGTTTATTGATAAAACAAGTTTAACTTATTAACTTCTTGTCTAGCCAGGGAATTAATATGACTACTTCAGATTTTTCTTTTTATAAACAATAACTAAATAATATTCATAAATAAAATCATGACTATTAATCCTAATGATAATAAACCAGAGGATTTAACATATTTTTTAAATAATAAACATGCCTTAAAATACTAGTTACACTCTCCCACTGTAACAGGTATAACTGGTATATCTCAGTTTACAGGCAGGTAACAGTCACTGTGTTTGTAAGTAATTTAGCAGAAACAATGGACACGATCACTCCGATGACTCGAAGGGTACTCCTTGCCAGCCTTAATTGCCTCCGGGCTTTTAGCTCCATAGTGAATGCACAGAGATTAGAGTGGTATCGATTTTCTCATCTAACTCTCAGCAGGAAAAGTGAATCAAGTGTATCTCCCAAAATGTCAGATTATTCCTTTAAGGGAAGATAGTTAATGTAAAAGTCACTGGATTTGTAACCAGTCTCCTGAAGCTGCCATGAGGAATAGTCTTGTGTCTGTATGTAGCAGTTGGTTAGCTTAGCACAGCATTAAGACTAGTCTGCTGCCTGGTCCAATTTGCCTCTTTCCCTCCATCTGGGGGAGAAGTGTGATTTCATTTCAGTAAAATCAAACATCTGGCCAGTAAAGTAGTAAAGGCCAGGGCTGACATTATCTGCTGCTGGCTGCCCCACAACACCAGGTCATATAATAACCTAGTATTCATCATCATATCAGTAGTTTGTCCGTGTTAGCAAGCTAGCTAGCCAGATAAAACCACTATATCACAATATATTTCACAAGCTTTGCAGTAATGTTAGCTTTGACTCTGGACTTCCTGTTGAACTTATAAGCCAACATTAGCTAGTGTTGCACATTGTTGACATTTTATGGAAGCGGAGAAAGAAGGCACGTTCAGCATACCCCGCTTTATCTTTATCTATTTTACTCTAAATTGGTCCATAATTTAGCTTCCCCTGCTGGTCTTTACATAGACTGCTTTGGCTTCACTTCTCAGACCTGGAAGCTCTACCCATGTACTGACAATAATATTGGCCTACTGTGTATAGTTTTTACATTTTATCACACACCCTAAACTCAAGAAGGCCTCACGATATTTGCCCATCTCCTTTGGGGACCCCTAATGGGCGTTCCGACCCCCAGGTTGGGAACCATTGATATGAAGCATAAGTCCGAGCCACAGCGCAAAAATAGAAAGATACAAAGTACAGGTTCATCAAAAACTGGCATAAACTCCTGTGAATGATGCATCTCGATGAGTATGCATTTGAAATGCAGTGGTTTAACAGAAACCCACTCAGAGCAGAGGGACTGGGGGAGGTGGGCCGCCCTCCTATAAATAGAGACTTTAACACTCTGTTAACACTCTTTGCTAATATAAATGTCATGAAGTACCTAAATCCTGAGTCACCCCGAATGGTTGATTGCACCAGCATTAGACTTACAAGGTTCAGGGTGATTTAAAACAGTACATGGGGTACTGAGACATTTTTAACTTTTAATAGTGTTAATTTTAAACACCAACATTAATGGCTTTCACCATAGTACAGTCATATACTTAAGTTTACAGCTAAAAAAACACGTTTTAGGGTGGCTTACCACTTTTAAAATATTAATATTTACCGCCGTCCTTTATGTGTATGTTGTGTGTGTTGTGTGGTTGTTTGTGTGTGTTTGTGTGTGTGGTGTGTGTGTGTGTGTGTGTGGCTCCGCCCATAAGCAGCTAAAAAAGAAGTCCGTACTCTGAGCAGGAGTTGTCTCTAGTTCTCAGCGGAGGGGAAACAGAAAGCGACTCACGGTGAAAAGACGACGAAAAGCCGCCGAAAAACACACATGGATTTATTAAGTGTTCCGCCGGCGCGGGAGTGACTTTGGGCAGACGAAGGCGACTGAAAACAAGTGAGTCCACCCACGAAATAAGTTATCTATCAAGACTTTAAAGGAGTAGGTACATTAATATCAGCGGGCCATCTAACAGCTCACAGCAGCGAGCTAACGTTGAACAACGTAGTTACCGTGTGTGAGAATATGGGTTGTGTGCTAATCACTCGTTAGGAAGATTACCTAAAACTCATGTAACAACATTAAACTCATGTGGGAGAAATACGATATAAAAACAATATTAAAGCAGTTGAAGACCCTAAGTTACCTTTTGGGTGGTCGATAGGAAGTTAATAAACTCCCTTTAAAGCCATCTGTCAAACATTCACGGATGTTTGGTGAGATTAAAGTTAAAAGTAAATTGAATATCTTTTTTAGGTTTTTTTTTTTTTTTTTTTTTGGATAAAGCAGGGAATTTTGAAGTCACATGCTGTGGCAGGCATTTTCCAAGATTATCAGAAATTGTTTTAGACTGAACAAATGATCCATTTATGGTAATGGAAATAACCATTAGTTGCTGCCCTGGTCACTGTAAACATACACAAAAGCTGACCACACTAAGTGCCAAGTGTTCCTAAAAACCTTAGAGACACAAACACAAACAAATGGCCAACGTTAATATTTGAAGGAGAGAATAAATTGTGAACGGTGCTTTTGTCTGCCTGCTGGCTGTCTTTGAAATGTAACCTACATTTCTAACCAGAACAAACCCAGAGAAGTTACTATCTAAGCAATGTCTTTTCTCATTTCCTCTCTCTGTGTCCCTCTCTGTCCCTCCTTTCTCTCTCTTTTTCTTTCCTTTCTTTCTCTTCTTTCTTTCTTTCTTCTTTCTTTCTTTCTCTCTCTCTCCTCTCTCTCTCTCTTCTCTCTCTTCTCTCTCTCTCTCTCTGTCCTGTCTGTCTCTCTCTCTCTCTCTCTGTTGCCTATGTGCTCAGCAAGATAAAAGTTTTTAATCACATGAGCAACATTTCCAGAGTTGCTGCACAGTTGCGTGTCAGCTCTGTAGCTGCTATGTTTAGAGGAAAGGTCCAAACCACACTTTGGATGAGTAATCCTCATCCTGTCGATGGCAAGTTTCATAAAAATGGGGCGAATGATGGGAAAATTAACAAACATATGCTGTGCTTTCATAAATCAGTCATATATGCTTTTTTCCCCACTTATTTCATATTTCAGAATGATGATTTTATAAAATATCACATTTTAAAACTAAATTATTAGCTCGTTTAATAGTTTGACTCTATTTTTCCTTCACAAATCTCAAACCTGTTTATATCATCTTGGGTTCTTATGTTGGTGGATTTATATCCTCCTCCTTTTATGCTGTGGTAGTCATAATAATGACTCCATTATTTTCCTTTCAGTCTCAGATGCAGCTAGTCTGTTTACTCTGCATCTAGTCCCTGCCCTGAAAGTAGCTTGAGATTCAAGTTGCCCAACACAGAACAGTACGTACACCGGGATGTTTATCTTGATCAATGTTTGTCATGTTTGTGTGCATCTGTGAGTGACTGCTGCAGCAGAGAGATTTTATGCACGAGCATGTGTGGTGGTTGTAGACAAGTTTCCAATTCGAGAGATCCAATTTGTTGCTTGTTTGCAATATCAGGTTGCTATGGCAGACACTAAAGGGGTTTCATGATCCCAGAACACATACAATACCGAACTGGTGCTGTGCTGTAATGTATGAGTTTTCCATTTTAAATACCGAAATGGTTAGTTTGACTTGGCCAAATGGTTTACCAGTGCCTCTTTGGTTATATCAAAGACATTCACACAGCCAGAACTCTGCTTAAGTAGCCAATCATTTCTCCACACCATGTGTTTAGACATTTGCTGATGGTCTCCTCCAGTTCACGCAGTGAGCAGGCACAAGCTCTAGTTTCCTGCTCAAGGACACTTGGATCATAACAGGACTGTAAGCGTTCACCTGTTGATTAAATCAACCCTGTGACCTTTTCACAAACAGGTCATTTTCTCTCCCCGCTCTCATGTATTCATCTCACCTAATGAACCTCTCCTCATTACTGTCCCAGACATTCCCGATAATGGCTGACTAACAGTTCCCAGGAACGCAGAGAGGAACGGAGATGAGTAATAATGGTCCTCCACATGAGGCACTGAGTTTCTTACTAGAACATTCGTGTGTTCAAGAACACAAATGTGAGGGGAAGACTGTTCATATGTTGTATGTGCATGGCTTTGTTAAATAGCAGAAAACAGGCTGCTTTAGTTGCCAACTGTTTGTTTTCAAGGGCTTAATTCTTCCTGGTGTACGACTGCAGAGAGACTTTGTAGTCAGTACAGTTTAAAAAAAACAACACTTATTTTGTGATCATTCAAAGGCGTTACTACGTTACATAAAACTAATTTGGCGTGCGTGTTCACAGCGATTCCCTCACACTTACAGACCTGTCTCTTCACCAGTCTTCCTCTCATTTCAAGGTCAGTAATTTTAGAACATCCCAGAGTGGAAACCCAGGGGTGCTGCTAATTATGGGGACATCCCATCAGGTCTGTACTATAACCACACTGTCGTCATTCATACTGACATGGAAATCAGCACTGTCCCGCTAACTGTCAAACAGTCCCTAATGTAGTGTGAGAACCACAACAACTTCAAGACTCTAGATTACGAGACAGATAGTTGTGTAGTGTGAACAGTACAGAGATCTGATGACTTTGAAAGTCATGTAGTGTGACCAAGGCTTAATAGTACAAGTTTGTATCCAGTGTTTTCTCCAAGACTCCTCAGACCAGACGAGTTTACACAGTGAATATGTTTTCCTGGCTGTTAGCCTGAGCTCCTTATCACATCCAACTTTAAGTCAGCACGTAACAAATCTACATGCAAAGCAAACCTTGTCTGAACATTTACAGTACGGAACAGCAGAACAGTGTCTACAGTTGAGCAGATGGGAAGGCGCCATCCATTTGTCACATTTAGCAATAACATGAGTTGAGAGAAATGACAAATGATTGGTTATATACAGACATCTCATTTGGGTAACCAAGGCTGAGTCCTTGCTGCAGCAGCCCAGGGTTCAAGATCATCCTGTGGCCCTTTCCTGCGTGTCATCCCCTCTCTC